GGCAATATGGTCTGGCATGGTCCAGGAATACATGCCTTTCCCTGAACAACACCACTGGAAGAGGTTCGCTGAAGACTTCCATAGGCTATGGAACTTCCCCAACTGCCTGGGAGCAATTGATGGGAAGCATGTTGCAATACAGGCCCCATCATCAACAGGGTCCATGTATTACAGAGTAATTCTCCATCGTCCTCCTAGCAGTAGTTGATGCCAGGTACCTTTTCCGGATGGTGGATGTGGGGGCATATGGGAAAAGCAGTGATGGTGGGACCCTCTGTGACTCTGACTTTGGTAAGGCCCTCCACCAGGGGACCCTTGACCTGCCAGAGGATGCACCTTTACCAGGAGCAGAAGACCTCCAACCTGTGCCACATGCATTTGTGGGTGATGAGGCTTTTCCTCTGAAGAAGAACCTTCTACGGCCCTATCCAGGAAAACACCTTGACAGGGAGACGTCCTTCCCGTGCAAGGAGGATGGTGGAGTGAACATTTGGCATCCTTGCTGCTCAATGGAGACTCTACCACAGAGGGCTTGGTGTCTCACCAAAAGTTGCTGATGCAGTGGTGAAGGCCACTTGCATCCTTCACAATTTCCTTCGCTTTGAGGATGCTGGTGAAGAGGAAGGAAGTTGTGCCCCCCTGCCATTAGAGCAGCAGCTTGCTATGCAGCCCATCCAGCGAGTAGGCAGCAACAACGCCTCTAGGGAAGCACTAGAAATTAGACAGAGGTACACCACCTACTTCTCTTCTCCTGCAGGTGAAGTTGCATGGCAGCATTCTGTCATCTAATGCCTTGTAATGACTCCCACTACCATCAAGACAACCTTTAGCATGAATATCAGGACCACTACCATCAGTAACATTAACATCAGGACCACCACCAGTAGTATCAAGAAAGGCTCTTTTAAGAGCCACCCAAAACCTTAGAAAATGAGCATATTTGCATTTTTGCTTTCACCAGCAAGCTATACATTGCAACAAAAATAAAACACTGACCAAAATTTTAAGTAAAATAAATGACTGGGAAAGTAGATTAATTTAAAATATATTTTTTAATCATCAATTTCCATGTACAGATTCATAAATAAAACAGTGTCATAAAAATAAATATAAAAATTGAAGCAATTACAGCTGTTTATAAGTATTTCTGTGTTTGTGTGTCTGTCTGTGTGTATGTGAGTGTTTTACTAATTGTCAGAGGTAAATTCTGCCTCATGTAAAATCTGTTGGAATTTTATTTTAACCTCTGAACGACGGCGTGGAGGAAGGCGTCTCAAAGCCCCAGATAAACTTAAGAGAAAATGCTCATCATCGTCTGGCTTATTATTAATTGCCTTCGGGACACAGCGCTGATATTCTGAGATATCTGGCTCAGACTTTCTCTTTGGAGCCAGAGTGCGACGCAAAGGTATTTCAGGTGTGCAGGGTGGTGGCACATCAGGGGAGTCAGGAGATCTAGGCTGTGTGCTGTTGGCTTGGGTTTGGGTCAGTGACAGGGATTGTGCATTCTCATCTGTTGTCTGTGAGGGGGGAGGGAAAAAAAATAATTAATAGCAATTTATCGATAACATATACTGCTGCTATTACTACTATTAATAATAGCCTAATAATTCCTTTGACAGAAAAAAACCCGTCAATAATTGCAATTTATTAAACAGATATAGCATCAAACGCTTTGGTGGACACAGGGCCTAAGTGCAGTTATGCACGCTCGTAAATCATCTCATGACTAAGTGCAGAAGCGATGTAAATAAGAGATTCATTGTGCAGTTTAGAGAGCTTCACTGATTATAACAGAACTTTGTAAGATCGCGATGAGCAAAGATGAGTTAAGCTTTTTAGAATCCTCCCATATCCCAATATATATATATATATTTCTTTTTTCCCCTTGCCCCCCCTGACTCAAGAGTCAAATGTCGCCCAAGGTTAAGGGTAAGAGTACTTATGCAATGTACAGGTTTTTTATTTTTTATAAATTTACGAAGTTGTGGCAATTTTGTTTTTGCTTTGTCAATATGGTGTATGGAGTGTAGATTGATGTGGGGAAAAAAGTACTTTAAAGCAGTTTAACATAAGGCAGCAACATAACAAAAAAACGTGAAGGGGTATGAATACTTTCACAAGGCACTGTATTTCCATATACTTTAACATTTTAATATACTGTTCAATGTAAAGTTTTTTTTTTTGTTGTTTCTTCAATAGAAAAGCAATTTTTAATGTCATCCACTGTAATT